GTTTTAGAGTTTTCTACTTCTAATTACAGACTGTCTCTTGTTTTTCCACCTTTGTGCTGAATTTGTCTTGTTTTTTTGGTTCTCTGTTAAGTTCTAGGCCCTTGGGGATTCTGACTTGAGAAGGCAGGAAATATGACAATGTTAAGTGACAGGCACAGCACTTCTTTTTTCCAAGACACTGGAAAGCGACCACTAGTAGACTGGTTGTCCAAACCACTGGCCAGAGGCAGTGGGGAAACAGAACAGAAGCAAAACCAGGAGCTGGCGGCAACTGGCTGCTGAGGAAGTCACGGCAAAGCTGTGGAGAGATGCAGATTTCTTCAGGCCTAGCCCTCAAACATGTAACACGTGCCAAGCTTCTGTTCTGAAGCAAAGACCTAACAGGTTATATACATACTGCACGATGAAAAAGGGGGTAGGAATAGAAAGGAAATGTTCTCTTTCTCGAAAAGAATACTGTAGACATAAAAGGCAAAATTCACCACTGCCAGAGAGGGGCTGACAGAGGAGCCTCCTGCCGGCTGCACTTCCGACGACGTCCACGGCACAGCTCTACAGCTTGCTCCCTTCTTTTTAATTAAGGAGGAGGTGGTGCATTCGAAGGACGCGCTCTGGACGCTGCTGGCTGGAAAGCAGATTTGATCTCGTCGTGATGCTCAGCCAACATTGATTTTCTGCCCCAGTGGAAGAGATTTCACTCGGATGCATGCCATTTAAATTCATTTTACACAGCTGCTTAATGTGTAGGCACTGGCAGGCTTGGCAAGCCACGGCCAAGCTGGCTTTGTGGGCCTGAATAGGCCTCCTGCGCGCGGAAAGGACAGATCCTAAGGATTAGCAGCTGATGCTAGATGCCTCTGCCCCCCCTGCTCTCTTCCCACCGACTCTGAATCGTCCTGGAAGGGACCACAGGAAAGTCAGAAGGTGACAAGTGCCCGAGAGGACAGGTACGGCCAGCTAACCTGCCACCAGCTTGTTCATTCTTCGGACAGCACTTGGAGAATTTTTTTATCCGAGACACTGTGCTTCCGGAATTTAGAACTCACAACTGCAAAATTACCTTTTGCAAACAACTATGAGGTATCATCTCGCCCCAGTAACAAGAGCAAACAAATAATACTGGTGAGGTTGTGGAGAGACGGGGACCCTTATTCACTGCTGGTGGGAGTGGAAAACAGTGCAACCACTGTGGAAGGCGGTATGGAGCTTTCTCAAAGAGTTAGAAACAGAAATACCATTTCACCCAGCAATTCCACTACTGGGAATATACCCTAAAGAAACCAGAACCACCACCCAAGCAAATAGACAGAGTACTGCTGCGTTATTCACAAAGAGATGGAAGCAACCCAAAGAAAGACCCATAGAAAAACTATGGTTTACTCCCACAATGGAATACTACACAGAACTGAAAAAACAAACAAGGAACTCATAAAATATTATACAACATGGGTGACCCTGGAGGATATTATGCTGGGTGAAATAGCTCAGTCACAAAAGGACAAATACTGCATAGTGCCACTGTTATAAAACAGGACTGAGATGGGGGTTGAGTGAAACTAAAAAAAAAAGAGGGAATAGATAATGAACAGTGCATTGGAACATATGAAGGAAAGAACTATTTAAAAGGAATATATGATTAGGCATTATACGTACAACAGCCCAGAATAAGAGGTACATAGCAAAGAGAGCTGGGGAGTGGGGGAGAATGGGAGGTAACTGTGCAACAATGAATGAATATATAATACAAAAAGTGAACTGGAGGAGCAGGAAGGGAGGGAAAAGGGGTAAAATGTACAACAGCGAATGACTGAAAATCTAACTTTTTTGTAAACTTTCATTAACATCACAAACCAAAAAATTTTTATTAGAAAATAAATGATCTTTCGCTCACACTGCCTAAATAAATAGGAAAACCCTAAACCACAGCCAGTGAGCTGTTTCTGCCTCATGTGGACACAGCAGGACAGAGCAGAGGTGCCCAGTGGGGGTTCCAAGGCTGAGGACAGAGCAGAAGTGCCCTGTGGGGTTACGAAGGCTGAGGACAGAGCAGAGGTGCCCTGTGGGGTTACGAAGGCTGAGGACAGAGCAGAGGTGCCCTGTGGGGTTACGAAGGCTGTATCATCATGGAAGCAGCCTGCCTCATCTTTTTCTCACGCAGAAGCTGGTAGCTTTGAACTGCTGACCTTTCGGCTTGCAGCTGAGCGCCTGACCCCTGCATCATCAGGGCCCTTTAAGAAATATATACGGACTATCATACTAACAAAAAAGCCCTGTGTACTACACTCTTACCAAGTCATGAAGCTTGAGCTTCACACACACAGCTCGTTAAACTAAATTTTCTACAAATTGGCTATTCCCTACCTTATCTATCTTATTATTAACGCAAGCTGAGGGTTATTTCTCTCCTGAAATGGCCATGGAACATCATTAAATCTGTGTAGTGGTATCTTAAAGTTAAACTACACAAGAGGAGACCAAGAACAGCATTTCTGCTGAGCAAAGCGTTCGACACAAGAGGCCTTAGGGCATTTGCCCGCTTAAACGTGGTAAGGGGTTTGAGATTCTAGGAAAGAAGTGAAGCTTTTTGTTGCTGCATGTAATTCCTGTGTTGACACGGGAAAGAGAATGGCAAGAACATGCTTAGAAAGACCGGAACTGTGTGCTGGGCGTTGGGCTGTCAACAGTCCAGAAATCCTCGGGAGAAGGAGACAGCAGGAGTCTTGGGAACAGAGGTTTGCTCAGGGACGAGCGATGGGAGAGGGAAGCCCCTACGTCCTGCTAGTGCCCAGTTCACCCCTAGTGTGGTCTGTGTCCTCAGCGGAGGCCACGGCTCTCCAAGTTCAGGGGAGTGTGGGGTGGTTTGGGGAGAGGCAGGTGTGAGGTCACAGTCATGAGGACAGTGGTCCGCACAAGTGTCCACACGGAAGGACTCTGATGACCGGGGATATGAGAGGTGGCGGTGCCTCACTGCTGAGGTGCCTCGCGGTGGACCCCCCTCTCAGGCAGGACGGGGAGAAGCCATGCCAAAGCCATGCAGACTGGGCCCCTGGGGGCGGCATGCGGTTCCATCACACCATCACGGGAGGAACGCCATAAACACAACACAACACAACACAACGAACAGAAAACCCGGGACAAACAGAGATGAACACAGAGACGGCCCCTCTGGGATGGGTGTCCTCTGGGGTCTCGCTTTTCTGGCATGGGGGTGCCTCCAGCAGCCAGGGGCGCTCATGAACAGGGGGTGATGTCCAGCGAAGGGGAAGGGCTACCTACCCGTACTGGTCAGGCTGGTGCAGCAGGGGAGCCTGAGAGTTGCCATAGTTGGGGTGCTGGGAAGAGAACATGGGGCGTCCGCCAGCCCCAGACTGGCTGGGATAAGCAGGCGACCTAATGTATGGTGGCCTAAAGGAACAGAGAACAGCTGCTTTGATTGGTTCGGTAGCACAGGTATGAGCCCCCCGTCCGTCTAATGTGCCCACCTGGAGATGTGGAAGGCAGTGGGTGGGCGGAGGGTGGCAGGTGTCCTGCTCTGCACCGACCAGCTGCCTCCGGGGACAGAGGGGACAAATGGACAGGGCGGGGAGAGGGGTTATGAGGAAGACGCTCAGAGTCAATCGTAGCTGACCCCTTCCAAGCACAGTGCTGACTTCGGGCAAAGCTCAAAGCAAAACCTCCGTCCTCCTTCCCTCCTGGAGAGTGGCCGTGGGCAGCTTGTGGGCAGTGTTGGGACGGCCTACTGATGGTGGACGGGAAATGGGAGAGGCACCAAGAAACTCAGATAAAGAGGTTCAGAAGGCAAGCAGGAGGGACAGTACGTTTTACTCAACAGAATTATGTCTGAACGTCTGTCCAGATCACTTGAGGCTTCTTGCTTTACTAGCAAACAGAAAGGAGGTGGATTCATGCTTTCTGAGTTCTAGCAATGGTGAACTTATGGAAATCTAGCCGAGAGCTGCCTCTGGACCAAACAGAAATGGAAGCACACCTTGAGGGAGGGTGACGGGCGCGCTGTGGGCTGGTGGCTGCTAAGAAATCGTAAAGTGGATGGGCGAGAAGGCTTGATTTCTAATTCCTCATAGGACATTTATGATTGCTTGCAGCAAATAGTGAGGCTAGGGTTGGGCTGGGAGGGGGTCCCCTACATTCCCCAAATCACAGATTCAGAGGAAAAGGGACACAAGGACACATTTACACACACACTCTCTCTATCTCTCTTCACACACACACCCACTCTCTCTCATTTCCCCTCAGCAAAAGCCAGGATTTTCTATCTTTTCTTCTGAAGAGAACATTAACAGATACACCTTTCACTGTGTTCTTGAGAAGATATTTATATGTGCTTTTAAAAAAGATCTGACTACGTCTGCCTCATCAAGTTTTACGTAACTATACTATTTCTAAGTAGCTGGAGTATTCACATCAAGAAGGAAACGTCATAATCAAAGGAAGCTACCAATTCTGGGGGAAGCCTTGCTCTAAGAATCCAGAACTTTATCAAATATTATCTTTGCTGATGTACCACATTTTTGGGTTGGACAGACACAGAGGAACAACTGGAAAGAGAACATAAGAATACAAAGTAGACAAATCGCCCCATACAGGGAAAACACACACAAACAGGTATGTACACACACCACTTTCTATCTTACAAGGATTTCTAAGGTGGCTGAGCAAAGGGGGTGTTATGCACTTGTGTGTTTAGAAGTGAAATAACTTTGGTCTTTAAAATCGCCTGTGTGAATGTGGCTGTGTTCAATGGGAGTGCGGCGACCCGTCCTACAATGAGAGCTGGCAGCCCAGGTGCTGGCTGGGATGACTCCAGACACGTCCAGCCGCTGCCCACGGCGGCCCTGCCCACCGCATGCCCTCCACTCCTGCAGTGCGGCCTGTCAGTCACCGCCTGACCTTTGTGGCCGGGGACAGCCCTGGCAGAGAGCCACCTGCAGAGTGGAGTGGGGTGCCCGCGCCCGCCCTGGCGTCGCTCCTGGGGGGCGTACCTGCTCTGTGCCGAGTTCGCAGCAGCCTGCATGACCGCAGCGGCTGCCTCCTGCGCCTTACGGTTCACAGTGGGCATGGGCGGCCCCATTCCTGGCCCTCCCTGCTGAGGCATGCCGGGAGAGCTGGGGGTCATGCTGCTCATGCTTCCAGGAAACGGTCTGCTCTGCATCCCGGCCGATGGCATCCGTCCCAGGGGCATAGCACCACATGGCTGGCTGGGCCCTTGTCCATGCATCTGGCTGTTGGCATTGATGCCCATGCCAGGCCCTGGGCCGCTGTAGCTTGCACCGGGCACCCCGCTATACGCGGGGGCTCTGGAGTAGTTACCTAAATGAAAAGCAAACACAGATTAAAGCCTGTTGTTTTAATTGTGAAACTTGTGACAACATTAGCTGCAATTACTTCTGGTCTCACAGCGTGAGCGTGTGGGGCATCGTTGTCCTGTAAACCCTTCCTCTGTTGGCATCGGCGGGGCCGCCAGCCACAAAATAATGCTATCTGTGCACATTCCAGAAGGCCCTCGGATGTCAAACCCAGGCACAAAGAGCCACACAGGACGGCTGCAGCATGTAGGGGAAATCCAAGCTGGCCGCCAGAACAGTTCATCAGCAGGTGAGGGACTGCGGTGCTGAGTGCGGCTTCAGTACATTCCAACTTCTCAAGCACGACACTCCCCACCACCCCCGGGCCGGCCCGCCCTGCAGCGCTCACAGCGAGGACAGAGGGTTCCAGGAGGCGACACAAGCCTGCGTGGAGACGTGGGACGGGCCTGTCCTTCTGCAGCGTGGGGACAACGGCTGTTCCTCGCTTTTGTGCTGGAGCACGAGACACAGGCTGCTTTGTGCTGTGTGGCATGTCTCATGCGTTGTGTTAAGCAGTAGGATGACAGGTCCCTCCGGAAAGATGGACCCACCACGGAGCGCAGGCAGGCTAGACCCACGGCGAGAGGCTCAGAGTGGCCCATTTTCTTTTAAAATATTTTTTAATTATTCTTAATTTTCATGAAAATTTACAGAGATTTTGGATTTTGGCCCCTTTTCTGTGCATACCAGTCACCGAGGAAGGACCTTCCAGATACATCCTCCCCCAGCATGTAAACTCGCACCAGACTGAGGGTCCCTCGGCTGGCCCCTTCCAGGACTGACATGGAGAATGGCAGCTGTCACACCTGAAGGTCACAGGCTGTGGGGTTCTGTTTCCTTCCACATCATATAACTGAGTGTGTATCAAGTAAACAGAAGGAAATGAAAGTGTTTTCACTGTATCAGCAAATGTACTTAACAAGTAGGCAGACTACATGTCAGATAAGGTCTGATGGCCTAGTGGTAAGGAGCTGCTCTGCCAACCTGAAGGTACAAGGTTCGAATCCACCAGCTGCTCCTTCAGAGAGGAAGGGGCAATCTCCTCCCATGTGATTTACAGCCTCTGAAAACCTGCTGGAGAGTCAGCTACGAGTCGGGTCTGACCTGATGCTCCACAATAACAACCAAGGCACGGCAGATACAGAACGGAGTGTTTAATTCTCCCTAAAACCCACCCGCACTCCACACCAGCAGTCTGAGACTGAGAACGCAAGTCAGCATTCACAGCCTCTGGACACCACGGACTGAAACGACGGACTAGGCTGCCTCCCACCAAGGGCTGGTGCGTAAGACAGAGAAACCAGACAAGGTTTGTAGAACAGGGAGGAGGGACCTTGCTGCCTTCTGGAAGAGTCTCCTCACTCATCTAACATCTTTAAACACTTGCTATAAGCCAAGAACCGATCTGGGCCATACAGGTGATAGAAAGTTAAATATGATCAGATTCTCGCCATCAAGAGCCTCACAATTAATCCGGTGATGAGAGAGAGGGAGAGAGGGAGAGGGAGGGAGAGGTAGAGAGAGAGAGAGAGAGAGAGAGAGAGAGAGAGAGAAATAAAATAATGAAGGAGCAACAAAATACAAAAGTCCAATCTCCTTGGAAAAGTACAAGGGATAACGGAGAGCAAGTCTGATTTGGGTGGAGGATGAGAGGGTCATATGAAGCAGGGAGTTCAGGGCAGAACCTTTGTCAAGTGGGATCCTCAGGGCACCATACAGGCCAGTGTATGGGGTCTGGAGACCAGAGGCTGCAATCCTACACGTCGTTGCTCAGTGCCGTTGACTCCGACTCAGCGATCCCACATCCACCCGATGGAAACCCTGCCTGCCTTACCCTGGACCTTCCTCACTCTCTGTGCTGTAGTTAAGCCCTTAAGTTAGGGATCTGAATCATTCTCAGTTTTGTAAAGCAAAGGTGGGGCCACTGCCGTATGCTGCAGACTCCATCCCTAACAACTTTAGAGATGCTGTTAGGTGCCTTTAGTCAATTCCAGCTCCGTGACCCCTGTGGACAACAGAAGGACACTGCCCAGTCCTGTCCTTCTGCCCAGTCCTGCACCATTCTCACAATGGTCACAGTGTTTGAGCCCACTGTTTAAGTCACTGTGACTGTGCAGCGCTGTCCACTTTACCAACCAGGATGTCCTTCTGCAGGGCCTGGTCCCTCCTGATCACATGTTCAAAGTTCCTGACACAAACTGCCGTCTTCTTCTCTTCAGAGAGCGTGCTGGCTCTTCCTCCAAGACCGAGTTGTTACGTTCTCTGGCAGCTGATGATGACGTGTTCAACGTTCTTCACCGTCACCATAATTCAAAGGTATCAATTCTTCTTTAGTCCACCAACTTAACATACGAGGTGACTGACAATGCCATGGCTTGGGTCTCCCACACCTTTGTTCTCATCCTGACATCTTGGCTTTTCAACACTTTCAAGAGGTCTTCTGTAGTGGATTTGCCCAATGCAACATGCTGATTTCTTAACTCCTGCTTCCCAGGGCACAGACTAAGGATCCAAGTAAAAGAAAACCCTTGACAAGCCGAGCATTTCATTTACCACAGCCCTACAGGTGGCCTCTGTCATACTAACTTGATGAGCTGGTAATAGAATAGCAACAAACGGCACACTGTGCACAAAGTGTCTCAGTGTGTGCATAGACATGGTGGAGTGTGACGTGACCTCTGGGCAGTGCCCATGTGGCGAGGGCAGCGCAGTCCAGTCCCACCACGGTTGAGCTTCAGGCAGCTGTGAGGCGGTGACTGAGGGGAGACGCCGGGCTGAGCCAGGCCTGGGATGTGCCCCCAAAGCCGAGGGTTGAATCTGAAGACTCAGAGAAGCTGCTGAGAGACGTGCAGCAGGAGCTGGACTGAGTTGGGAACAGCAATCAAAGCAGGACCTGAACCAAGCTCCTGTTTGCTCAGTTTGTATTAAGGGCACTCATCACCCTTCGGGCAGCTTTATGAGGAACAGGTCTGTTACTACCACCGTCCTTTTTTTTTTGGTTATACTTTAATATATCAGATGGGCTTTGGGGGACAGTGGGGTGCACTCAGTTCTTCTTGGCAGCTGCCTTCCTCATGGTGGCCAGAACGTTGCTGAGTTCTTCTCTCTTCCTCTTGGCGCGGATGTGTGTGCCCACCCTTTTCTTGATGAACTTGAGGGCCCGCTTGTCCTTGGAGACCTTGAGCAGCTCCGTGGCGCGTCGCTCGTAGGGCGCGAAGCCACACACCTCCCGGATCACGTCCCGCACGACCTTGGTGTGCTTGGTGAGGCGCCCGCGGCGGCGGCTGTGCCTCGGCTGGTTCACGTTCTTGGTGACTTTGTGGCCCTTGTTGAGGCCCACGGCCACAGGGTAGCGCACAGCCACGGCTGCTGCACGTCACCACCGTCCTTTTAAAGATAAAGAATAGGACACAGAGAGAACTAGCCTGAAGCTCTACACCTTGAATGCAGCCATCTTTAAGGGACAGGCCACGTCCAAGCATTCAAACTGTCCACACACTGCCCTGCCAAGTCTGAAAAGAAACCACACTTTGATAGCCCCGAAGTCCCTATGGTCAAATCAATTCTAGCGCATGGTGACCCTGCATTAGCAACGCTGGATGTCTTACCGGGAAGAGACTGGCCATCCTTCTCCCCTGGAGTAGATGGTGGGCTTGAACTGCCAACTTTCCACACAGCGCGACAGCACATCACTGACTAGGCCACCAGAGCTGCTACAATAGCTGTGAACACAGGTTTCCTTAAGCTCAGTTAGAAGGCTACATGTCTGCATGTTTGTAGGTCACCAGGCTTTTCAATTCTTTCCTGAGCACTTACTCTTGTTTTAGGCGCATTATATTCACTACGAGGCATGTGATATAAATTACAGACGGTACAGAGGCTACTTTATTGTTTACACAGGCTATGGTCTGGCATGCTTCTTCTGGAAAGTGCCAGAAAGCAAATATCTTGGGCTTTGTGGGCCGATGACTGATGTTGCTCAAGCAGCCCCAGAACTTCCTCAACAGTGTGTGAACGGATTTGAGTGGTGGTGTTCTAATAAAACTTTATTTACAAATACAGGTGGCAGGCCAGAGTGGGCCATAATCTGCTGAGCTCTCATTCAGACCAGTTTCCGGCCAGGCGAATAAATGATTGTAACAGGAACAGAAATTGGACTTCTTCAGCCCTCAATACCATCTGGAGGACTAACGAAAGGCTTAAGAGGATTATCAGTGGGAGGCCAACTCAAGAACTGGAAAATTGGAAGACAAAGGAACAGCAGACAAGAATCGAGGAAGTGCCCCAGGAACTACTTGGGGCGTCCTGAGCTGCCTGGGTGGGGTCAGTGGCTCTGGCCAGTCCTCCCTTAAACCACCTCTTCCAGGGGTCCCGGGCATGTGAAGGGCCAGGTGTCCTGAAATGATCAGACTGGTATCATCTGAATGCAGACTCACTGAGGACCACTGGATGACAGTGTCTGACTATCCCCACAACGACCCCATCTGTGTGCAAGCCCACCTGACGGGAGAGCAGGAATCTGGTGTGCCGGCCCACTCTTGTTGGTTTTTGCTGTTGCTGTTATAATATTTTTTAAATACCAGAACATTTCCTGCAGAACCAAACACTGGAATTCTTAAGATGAACCAGATGCAGCCCTTGTGGGTGTAGGTGTTGTTTCCTTCACAGAATCCATGCCTCAATCTGTGGTAGATAATTTTCAGATGCCTCATATGGCCAGTGTTGTTGTTATGTGCTGTCAAGTTGCTTGCAACTCATAGCAACCCTATGTACAAGAACCCTAAACCCTGCCCTATCCTGTGCCAAACCTTACAATCTCTGATACACCTACTCCCATTACCCCAGTCACTGTATCAATCCATCTCACTGATAGTTTTCCTCTCCTGTGCTGTCCCTCCACCCTCCCAAGCACGACGTCCCTCTTCAAGGACCTGTCCCTCCTTACAACATGTCCAAAGTATGTCA